ATTGCCTCTTAGAGAATATGCAGATATTCTATTACTCAAACTCCAAGAGGTAAAACCGTGATACATACTAGGACAGAAGATAAAATAATTGACTTGGCTTATCTATATAAAACTTCACTAATAACTTAGTTTTAAATTTTAACTCTCCATGAACCTACGGAGCTGTGGCAGGTGATGAATGTTTAGCCAGATAATTACTCCTAATTGATATTCATATAAACATCCACTGTTGTAAACTTCTTATTTGATTTAAAATTTGAATTTATGTGTAAACTTGTGATGAATCTTTTACTATATGATCATGCATTCTGAAAGATGAATAAATGCCGAGGACAAAGAGGACAAAGAGAAGAGACAGAGCTGAGCTGACGAGAACTTTTTGACAGAACTGAACTCAAAAAGAACTTAGATGTAAAGTCGTAGCATTGGGAGAAAAGGAATTGAAAGTAAGGACCTTATTATAACAACAGAGCAGAAGGAGTGAGCAAGATTAGAAGGAGATTGTAGCAGAAGGAGCAGGCAGGCTTTTCCTTACCCTGGGAGAGAACAGGTTTTTTCTTAATAGCAAAGCAGGCTTAGTCTTACTAATTAGAATAAATCTTTCTTCTTACAGACTTGGGTTTAATTCATTTAGCAATAAAAGTGTAGAAGCTTTTTCTTTCTCTATATAATAAGGATTGGAGCTCATTTTTCATCCAGAATAAGTGAGTTCTTTCTGCACTGGTGCTTGGTCTTTTACTCCAAATACATATGTAAGAATGGATGTGTGTGTGTGTGTGTTTGTGTATGTGTGTGTTAATACATAATTATGAAAATATAAGTAAGTGGGGCCTAACTGGTTATGAATCAAAATGTGTAAATGTGCATGCATGAATCTTCATATGAATTTATGTGAGTTTATGCATATTTGTTTTTGTAAAAGTTTTTCCTTCTGTGAGCCTGTTTCTCTTCTCTTGGTTCAGTAGAAGTTTATTGCTTGAAACTTCCCCCTAGCCTAACAAGTGAGAGGCATCTGGATAAAAGGAAAAGGCTGTAGCAATCAGTCCTTTACTTAATCTCTTGCTGTTAGACTAGAGGTGTCAATCACCCAAGTCAGAGACTTTTAACTCTCAGAATGAGCAGAAAGTTTTAGGAATTTTTACAATTTAACATCAGTATTCAGTACAGATAGAGAGCTAGAACGTCCAGAGACTGTCAACCTTTAAAGCCACACCAGAGTCTTACTCTGTGTTCATTTCAACCTGCTCTAGGCCAGGAGGCTCCCAGCATCTAAATTGGTGCCTTGGAATAGGGAGTTTGAAGAAGGTAAGTCAATACAGATAGGACTCTCAACACATAATTAATGGAATAAATACTCTCCTTGTCTAAGTCCATCAACAGGTGACTTGGTTAAAAACACATTATAAATATGCACATCTCTTAATACTGTATGGCATGCTAAAGAAACTAATGTGTAATAACTATAGACAAAATAGCATGTTATTGAATTTAGTTAGGAAGAAAAGATCAAATACAATTTGATTTCAATCATATTTCAGCTATAGGAAGTTGATCTCACAAAGGTTTGTAGGATGATGTTGATTTCCATGGGAACACTATGGGTAAGAGAAGGATGTGAAAAGTTTTCTGAACTAAGCTAGAATCAATTCAAGCATGAGTTCAATGAAGTATTTTATATAAAATATCTACCTAAAACAATTGTGTTTTCACAATAAAAGATGATAAATGTTTAAAATATGAAATATACTGACCTTGATTTGAACTTTCATCAATGTTCATATGAATCATTGTATCACTCATTATATATACTATGATAAAAAACATTAAAAACACAAAAGAAACCTCCAATTAAATTTAATTTGATACTATAAAAGACCCTTAACACAATGATATACACAGATAAAAGTTGTAAAAACTCATGGGTATTGAGAAATTTCCTTTTAAATGATTACCAAATCAAACAACGAATAAAACTAAAAGTTCTTAGAATTGAAACCATCAGAACACAGGATTTAAAGTAAAGGCAGTTATAACAAATTTATAGGTATGGATGCCTACAACAAACAATGTGGGATTAATATAAAAAATAACCAAAGAACTCCAGAGAGAGAAAGACAGACAGACAGACAGACAGACAGACACAGAGAGAGAGAGAGAGAGAGAGAGAGAGAGGAAGAGGGAGAGAGAGAGGAAGAGGGAGAGAGAGAGGGAGAAAGAGAGAGAGAGAGGGAGAGAGAGAGAGAGAGAGAGAGAGAGAGAGAGAGAGAGAGATTCCAATGGTTAAATACATTTAACTTCTCTTAAGGGACTAAAGTTCAGTATCCAACATGCACCTCAACCTCCAGAGCATTTGATATCCTTTTCTGGGACCTCAAGCATTGCCTAAACCCACACACAGAATTCACAGTTCTTGGGTTTCTTTGTAGTTTATATACATATTATTTTTGAGTTTCCAATATAATTCCATCATATATCCCATTCCTTTCTTCTATCCAATTTCTTCTATCTACCACTTCTTGTTCTTTTTCAAATTCATGACCTATTTTTCATTAATTCCTTTTTCATGCATACATGTATATGGTCCTAAATATAACCTGCTCAGTATGTATAATGTAACTCATATGTATGTTTTCAGAGCTGACCATTTGGTATTAGATAGCCAAATGCTGTGCTCTTTCCTGGGTCAGAGTATTTTTACCAGCCTCAGCATTCCTTTGTTACTTGTAGTTCTCTATGTAGAGTGGAAGCCTCATTGTCTTTCTCCCATCTTCTATGGTATTATTGTTTTTGAAGATATCATGCAAGATTCCAAAGGAAGAAAACTACCAATAGTCCTAACCAGCTATGACTCTAATGAAGCACAACAACCAGCATGATTTCCTCTCCCTAACTAAATTCAATAACATGCCATTTTTGTCTATAGTTATTACAGATTAGTTTCTTTCACATGCTATACAGTGTTAAGAGATGTGTATATTTATAATATGTTTTTTAACCAAGTCATCTGTTGATGGACTTTGACAAGGAGAGTATTTAGGACAGAAACTATAAATCAGAAACACCTTTTAGAAAATTGTTGTGTGTAATTCCTATCCATTTAAAAATACACTAGAAAATAAATTTTTACAATGCTGAAATATATTTAATTACTATTTGGCTATTTTGATGATATTGAATAAAAATTCAGATATTTTCAACAATGTCTTTAAAACCATATAATTATATAATATTGATTCAAAAATTTCTATCACCCAAAATATACTTTTTAATAGTATAGACTCTGTTAACCAAAAATTGCAAAAACAATAAGGTTTTAATTCATATGTCCAAATTTAAGATGACAATGATTTTTAGTAAAGTCTTAGAAATTAAGAAATGATATATGTAGCTACCTAGGAGACTAAAATATAAGACTGATGATATTCTTGTGTATGTGTCTCTGTGTCTGACTGTCTGTCTCTGTTCCTGCCCTCCCTCTCTTACCCCAAGTGGGGTCTGTGTAAGCACAGGGGTGTGTGTGTGTGTGTGTGTGTACATATGTGTGTGTGCCTGTGCATGTGTGTATGTGTGTGTGTGTACATGTGTCAACTGCATGTGAGGGATTCAGAATACTGGGTCTTTTGGAATTTCAAGCAAGGAAAAATTTATGTTATTGTGTTACACAGGTGATCTCAACAGCTCTTCACAGAAGTGACCTGTGAGAGACTGTGTATCTTCATGTTAACCACTTAAGGAAGAATCTGATTAGGGCAGGTGCAATATTAGTTCCTGTATTGTCATGATAAGCAGTCTTGTGGTAATTGTAAAGGGTGAGTCTGAATATATACTTCAAATATGTCATTTGACATGCAGTCATCAAAAGGGTTAAGATAACAACCAAGGCCATTAGCCTCCTCTATGAAGAGCATAAACTATTTCCTATGATTCACAAACAAGTGCCATACATAGTTAGGAGTCATGACCTGACCTCTGCACATGGTTGTTAAAGAAGAAGTTGAAATCACAGCTAAAATCCCTTTAATACTTTCTTTCTTTCATCCCATAGACAAATTATACTTACAAAACAGGAATATAAATGGGCCAATCCATCAACGAATAAGAATAACCTGAAGCAGAACAAATAGAACGCGTGAGTTAGGACACAACAAAATTATAACAAAGAAATATTGACTTCAATTAAAAAAAAAAAAAGAACTTAGGAAACCTGTGAGATCTTATTGAAACTGAAATGTGTGAACACCCACTGAGTCATAGCATTTAATAGTGATGAAGTCCAGGAAGAGGGTATTTCCCATTTGTAGGGTCCCAGTCCACCTAGTTATGCACTGATTTGCATTTTAGTTGGGAAATTGTCAGACCTGCTTATTATCAGTCAGTTCTGCTCACACTGGGCTGACCTGCCAGTCCTATAAAAGGATCCTTGGCTACATGACTACAGACTCCTGGTACTGAAGTCCTGGTCTTGTTTGGTGAACCTGGTGAGTACCATTTCTTGATTTGATTTGTCTTTATGTTTATTCCTAGTGCTGTAGTAAGTTTTTGGGAGAAAGTATCATGAATTCAGTTTTGATCATGGGATGAAAGGTACATACCTAGTAGTCAGAAATTTAGCAGTGGATACAATAGACCACTGTGATATGTGGCATTTCCTTAACTAGTGGGGCAGAAACTGATTTTGTGATTTCTCGGGGCACCAGTACTTGTGGCTGCCTGTCTTGAAGATGATTCTTTGTGAATTCAGCATTACTTGTTTCATTGAAACAAAATAATTATCCTGAAAAATATACATGAAACAAAAGAGGATTTACCAAGGCTACTCTAGGAGATTGCTGACAGGAAAGGGAAAAGTCAGGAAGTCCTAAAACAAGAGTTACAAACTAATGTTCACGCCCAGAGAGAAGGGGGGAATCTGATGTTCCAAGTTTCAATAAATCTTCTCTGGATTGACCATCCCCTAACATTGTCATAAAATTGTTTACAGATCCTGAGACTCTAGCACCATGTCTTACCAACAGCAGCAGTGCAAGCAGCCATGCCAGCCTCCTCCCGTGTGCCCACCCCAGAAGTGCCCTGAGCCTTGTCCTCCTCCAAAGTGTCCTGAGCCTTGTCCTCCTCCAAAGTGTCCTGAGCCTTGTCCTCCTCCAAAATGCTCTGAGCCTTGTCCTCCTTCCTCATGTCAGCAGAAATGCCCTCCGGTGCAACCTCCTCCACCATGCCAGCAGAAGTGTCCACCCAAGAGCAAGTGAGGCCTTCAGCAGTCATCAGGACAAGGGAAAGAGAAGAGAAACGATTTCATGTTCTTCCAAAGCATCACCTCCATCAAAGCTTGCTAAGAATGCAGAGGAATCTTCTATACCTTTCAGCCTCCATGTGCCTGTAATGACCCCTTACAGGGAAGACATTTTCCTGAAGTTGTCCTGCTTTTGCTGTCAAGGGGCTTCCGAGAATGATCTGTCCTCAGTGTTTCAGTGTCCCAAATGCTCAGAGGGTAGAGTAGCTGGTGTCTATTCTGTGCACTCAGAAGATGTTTTGCAAAACTGTCAGTCACCTTAATTACTGTGGTGGTGTCACTGTGGTTTCATTTCCTGAATAAAGCACAATCTGATTAATAGTATTCATATGTCCCTTTTTCTAAAACACTCTATTTCCTTCCTGATATGTTTATGTCCTTTTATTTGTATTCATTGATCCCAAGGTCATTCTGCTGCAATCAAGTTTTTAATAATGTTGGATTATATCAAATATTACATAGTGTTTGGTGGTTTACTTGAAAGACACATTCTTTCATTCTACACAACTAAACGTCTCCTTTAGCACACACTAACTTCGAAAGAGTATCTTATATTCCAATATGCATGTGCCACTTGGGACATACTTCTACATTCTCCTTACTCCCCCATGTGTTTTTCTCTACATTGACCCCCTCCTTTGACCTAATAGTTACATATTTACATCAATAATCACAGTTATTGCTTTTCTAGTTCTCCAATTGAAACTATGCCAACCTTGTATTTTACAATGTCATATTTCTTAGCATGACATAATGCAGTTCATTCACTTTCTAAAAATGACATATCATTGTTCCTTATTACTATTACTCCAGTACATATATATGCCACAATTTCTTAAACCATTCATTCACTGGTAAGCAGCTAGGTTGATTATTGATCTCGAATACTAATAGTAGTACTAAAATATAGATGGGTATATAGGCTTGTCTATTGTATATTCTATTGGACTTTTAAAATATGAACCTAAGTGATGATGGGGTTCATATAATATGAATCATATGATAGTTTTGTTTAGAGTTATTTCTTTGGAAGACTCCACACTGATATCCATATATGTTGGGTTAATCTACTTTCTCATAGTCAGAGGATTTATGTTCCTTTTTGTCCACTTTTCTGCCAGGTCCCGCTATTATGTTGATGGTACTCAGTCTCACACAGGTATAATGATTTTGGTGTCATTTTTCTTTTTGTTTCTCCACCTCTGTTACCAACTTTCTTTCACTGTCCATAAAACTTAGGAAATATCTTCTCATCGTGTCTCTCTGCTGCAGGTTTTGAGAGTTCATCTGATTGAACAGGCAGACAAATTGGTGGTTTCCATGTTAATTTAGAATTGTCAATACTGAAGCTATGCAGCATTTATATTTATGTACTGAAAACATAAGTCAGTTAAGGTTTTGTCAAGTGACAACTAAATCCTCTTATAGACTGAAATGAAAATGTAAGTGGAACTGATGGCTGTTATCTTGTAGTAAATGAAGTTAAAACCACATTTTCCCTGCAACCACCAGGACTATCTCTTCAACTACAAGTGCCTTGAGGACAGATGTGAGTCTCTATGATTTTTAGGAGTCTTTGTTGGTTCAACACCTCAAAGCACAGTCATAAGCTTCAAGATGGCTTTCCAACAGGTAATGTTGAGTGAAAGTTTTCATGGGAATGACTAAAACAATGAAGTTCAATTTATTTCTCCAATGATTGATTTCAGCATATTGTTATGAAATAGTATGTGGTGAATACCAGGAGTCTTGTTAACATAGAAAAAAAAACAATATCAAAATGAGAAGAAGTCATCCACTCTTCTATGTCCCTGCTTGAGACAAACATTATATAGAACTGAAAAGCTGCAAGTTCACTTATTTATCAAGGTGTAGACTTACTGAAAGTGTAGCTTTCTTGTGAAGCTGTTAGTGGAACTTTGTTTTCTGTTTCCCAAGGCATGGGCTTGTCAGTCACATCTTTAGGAGCAGTGCAGGCACACCTCTAGGTTTCCAGTATTGGTTTACTATACTGTATTTTTATTTGATGTTTTACATCCACTCCATTATCACAGCATTTACACTCATGTTGATGTTGAAGTCATTACTCTTCTAAGCATAGCAGGACTGGTAAATATATGAACTTACAGAGACTCTGGCAGTACACACAGTTCCTGGACAGGTCTAGGTCTAATTGGGTCTCAGTGCTGAAAGTGGAAATAGACACATAGAAACTTAATCCTCCAATTGATAACAACTTGTAAATGTACAAAGCATTTTCTCCAATAGTCTTTTTTTTTAAATTTTATTTAATCTTTTTTTTAACACTCTAGATTTTATCTCCCTCCCAATACACTCTTTGACTGTTCCCCATCCCATACCTCCTCCCCACCTCCTGTCTCCACGAGGATGTACTCACCCCCACTCTCACCCTACCAGACCTCTTAATGGGTATACAGACTATTCAAGTCTAGGACCCATGGCCAGCTGTAGATGTCTAACACAAATAGAAGTCAAAAGAATTTTGGAATTTCTTTCTTTTGTTAATCCACAGGTCATTTCCTTATATGTTATGTTTACAAATTTGTATTTGTTTTACATTTTTAAATGAGATTTCTGTATTTGCCCAACATATGTGTCTCTATATCTGTATGTCTTTCCTGCAATTTTTCTTTAGGTCTTTGTTTTCTGGTCATTTATTTAGTGTTATTTAGTTTGTTTTTTAAATCTCATTACCTTTTGTTTTACTTTGTAGATGCCTGGGGTGGGAATGTATAGAACATCTAGGATGAGTTGAGGAGTCAGAACCATAATTATATTATATTTCATGGAAACTATTTTTAAAAAATTAAAATAAAAATAAACAAACTACCTCCCCCAAATCAAATAAGATATTATTAAATGTAATAATGTTTGGGCAGTGGTTCTAGCCAAAGAATCTGAGGTCCATGTAGAACTTCCTGTTTCTTGTTCTTATTTACTGCATATGTTATTGTATAATTTCATGTAGTGTTTTCTTAATGGAATAGGAGATACTGTAGTAAAATATAAAGTTAAATGAAAACCCCAAAATAATTAAACTTGATGATCAGGTATGTCATTTGATTCATAAAATTCCTTAGAAAACCAGAAAGAGGCAGAGATGTGAGAAAAGGAAGGTTCTCAAGGATCAATGGAGGTTACCTTTGCTCATGACATTGGGGATATGGAACCTGAAGAGGCCACCTCTTATACCCAGGCAGGAACCCCAGTGGAGTGATAGAGACACCAACCCACCCACAAATCTTTTAAACCACAATTTATCCTGCCTACAAAAAATGCAAGCACAGAGGATGGAGTAGAAGCTGAGGGAGTGGCCAACCAATACTGCCCCAACTTGAGACCTACCCCATAGGCAAGCACCAATCTCTGACACTATTAATGATACTCTGTTATTCCTGCAGATAAGAGTCTAGTATGGCTGTTGTCTGAGAGGCTCCACCCAGCAGCTAACACAGACAGATACAGATACCCACAGCCAAACAGTGGAAGGAGCCTGGGGACTCTTATGGAAGAATAGAAGGAAGGATTGTAGGACTGAAAAGTATACACAGGAAGACCAACAGAGTCAATTAAGGTGGACCCTTGGGACTCTGAGTCTGAACTACCGATCAAAGAACATACATGGACCGGACCTAGGCCTTACTGCACATATGTAGCAGATATGCAGCTTGGTTTTCATGTGGGTCCCGAACAACTGGAATGAGTGATATCCCAACAGCAGTTTCCTGTATGTGGGATATGTTCTTCTAGCTGGGCTGTGTTCTCTGGTCTCAGTGGGAGAGGAAAGGCCTAGCCTTGCAGAGACTTGAAGTGACAGGGTGGAGAGATACCCATGAGAGCTCTCACCTGTTCAGAGGAGAAGGGGAGGGAGAATAAAGGAAAGATTGTGGGAGGGTGTTGAGGGCCACAGAATGGCGCCCAACGTGGGGCGCCATTCTGTTGAGGGCCATCAGCAACAGTAGACCGGGTTCACCTGAAAGAGAGGCTGGGAATGGAAGAGGGACATGAGGGTGGGAAGAGATGAAGGCAAGACAAAGGTTTCTGATCGAGGCTCCATGCTTTAATGTTCAGCTTTCAATTTAAAGGGGATAACCCACCCCCACCCCCAGAGTTCCTTCTTGCTTCAGCCGGCTGGGGGTGAGCTTTGGGGGTGAGCGGAAACCATCCTGTTGGAGGTGAGAGGAATCCATAGGTAATTGCGGGCCAGAGATGTCTCAAAGCAAGCTCAGCAGGCAGTCTATTCTTCTCAGCTTGTGTACCAGGGTACAGGCAGCCAGAAAGGCACCAAGGCCAAAGCAAGCACTGCCTCTGCTAAGGGCAGGCAATGCCTCCAGGCCATACCTCCGGAGTCCTATTGTTTGGTCTATTGTGGTAAACAAGGTCTCATCTCTTAGGCCTGCTCAAGGCTGGGGGAAGGGCACAGGAGGGAGTAACTGGAAGGGGGCCAGCAGGTAGGATGTAAAGTAAATATGTAAAAAATAAAATTTAATAAAAAAATAAAGGTTCAGCTCAGGGATATTCAATCTATAGAGATAAGTTATTAAAATAAAATATTTAATTCAATGATAGATGACAGCTTAAAGGACCATTGTGTGTATATTCATGTATGTGCACACATGTGTCCCATGTCTTAAGTCTTGATGGTTCATAATGGACAATCATACTGTGTATCCTTGTTCATCTGTGGTTGCTCTTCATAGATCTTATGTGGAAGGAACTCAGCTTCAGTATCTCTGCCTCAAAAGAGACCCAGCTTCTCTCTTGTGCAAGTGGTGTTAGAATTAGTAAGCTTTACTTTTGAAAAATGCTGGTAGTATATGTTATTGTAAAATGTAAAGACTTTCATAATGATGTTTCAACATATGTATATAGAGTATTCACCCTCATCCACTTCATTCATCATAGAAAAGCAAAGAATAAACACATGATACTTGT